ATGCTCATTTTTTGACTTATGACTACAACCCCACTGGTGGTAGGTGGTAAACACTAGGCGGTAAACAATAATTTCTTGGTGTAACAAACAGCCTTTACACTTTAAATAAAACTAATTTTACGGATTTTATCGCGTATATTTACTTATTTTTTTACCCGACGTTTCGAGCACTTTACAGCACCCATGGTCACGGGGGGGACTGAGGTGTATGACGTCCCAGTGTCATAGTTAGCCACGACTACCTCCAGATTAAAAATTACAGTGCAACTTACAGTATCATGAAGTCTTGCAGTTGTATGCTTGGGTTGGGATTTAATTTTATTAATTATGGGATCCCAAGCAGATGGTAGCACCCAGCCATCTTCTCTATTGAAATTAGGATGTTTTTTGATTTCAATAGACTCGCCAATCATCCTTGGAAGGAATCGGTGTTCTTCAGCGAGGATTTGTTGTCTATCAAATTTAGTGACGGAGGTGATCCTGTACGTGTTCACAGACTGCAAACTTCCCGGAGCGTCGATTCTTTACATCAGCTATATGTTCTTTAACGTGGGTTTTTATGCATCTTTTAGTTTGTCCTATACAAGAGTGACGACATTCAAAATCAAGCTTGTGCACTCTGCATCTTACAGAGGAATATTACACTTGACTGGCGTAATACCAGAGCCCTTGCGGCAATGCTGGACGATCTTCGTGCCGAAAAAGGACTATCCTATTGGGCGACTATCGACCAATTTCGAAATCGTTTTGATTTCGATCGGTACCGCTTAGCCACATGCGCTCGGTCCTGGCGAGGAGACTTCTGGATTGCTGCTACCCCCCCCCCCCTCCGGATGCACGACAGCGTGGATTTGTCACAGACTGGATTTGTGACAGATTAACGGCAAGATGCCGAAGTACGTAATATTACGTATACGTACTATTTGCGCAGATAGGCATCACTAAAATTTTATATAGGAAGCTTATCTACGTAATATTACGTGTACGTATTATTACGAACCTCTGGCACCTTGAGTAGCTTAAATTTGCTAGCTATCATTTTCACACTTCTCGAACTATCTCTTTCACCAATAGTACAGCAATTACGCATAATCAGTGTCGCGCCATGCGCAAAGCGTAATTAACGTGAGAGTAGGCGAATTTTGGGAGTGCCGCGCGGGCGCAGTGCAACGAGTAATTGTAGTATTTTGCGAGGCCGTCGCCGTACATTGCAATCAACACGACGACCCTTAAATCAAAATTAAGTTCTACGAGCTCTTTATGAATAAAAAATGGAAAATAGTGGCGTCTCTCTTGGCATCCATAATGATTAGTGAATTCGAACACTAAGACGATGGTATGATGATCGGCGGAAATAGACAAATCCCTTGTCATCTAGTTAGTGACGCGCATGAATTGATTAACGAGATTTCTACTGTACCCATCTACTTCCCACTGTCCCTTAACTACGTCGTCGGTACTCGTACTGAGCGGACGTATTTGTGCGCTCTCGCGTAGCTTCGTGTAGTATTATTTAGTAATTTTGGTGTTTTCCTTAAACTTTTGTGTAAATTTTTGCTTATAATAACCTTTTTAAATATTGTGTGTCGAAAAACAATAAAACTGTGTAGTATTAGTGTATTTTTAGATACTTTTATAGGAATAAGCACGTGTTTTAAGGTTAAGACCACGCGGTTACCGCGTGGTATATTTGTGTGTTGTGTCACTTTACTAATTGGATATTAAACTGTGAGTACTTTATTATTAGTTATAGTGATAATTATATAGAATTAGTTATTAAAAAGAAGACATTTTAGATTTATCATTAGGGTTTAGTGTTTTGGCACGTCGTTGTAATAGTTTGACATTGACAGCCGTCATCTAACGTGACGTTGATGACAGTGACGTTGACAGCTGTCATCTGTCACTGTGACTGACGTCTCGGTTGCGTTCCGTTTTTATATTTGACTCTGCATTATACTGTTATTGACTTTTTAAATATTACTTGTTAGTTTCTAATATAATAATGGCTGACGACGAGGAGTTATTCACTCCTCGTAGATCGTTGGTGAGGACCCCGCCGGGCCCATCTAGTCGGCCGATTGCGTTGCCACCCCCACCACCAGCAGTGCCGGAGAAGCGCCCTCTGCCGTCACCGGAAGAGGTGCAGCCATCTTCGCAGCGTGCAAGGGTGGGCAAGCGAACTGAGCCTCGCCGGAGTGTGGCCCCGGCGGCAGGTCTACCAACCAGGGACGTGGAAGGATCTGCCCCAGAACTGGAAGAGGAGGACTGCCTAAGGGAGAAACCCCGTGGCGCAAAGGGTAGCTTTAAAGCTTCCACTGCGTCCAAGCTGGAGGTGATCGACCAGGTTCGGGAAGCAGTGCGGGGCATCTTGGGCGTTGTCACTGGACCCGGATCCAAACTGAATAAGACGGAGGTAAATAAGGTAGCTGCCTATGGCCATGACCTTATTGCCATGGTGGCGACTATGCAGGTGCATATGTCGGAGCTGGAACTGGCAAGGCTAAGGGCTGAGAAGGACAAACTTGGAGCTGAAGCAAAACTGGCGCAGGTCGAGGCAGGAGTGGTTCCTTGCCACGTGACGGACCCGGCACCGCAACGATCCTACTCTGCGACACTGAGGTTGCCTAAGGGATCAGACCAGGTTCTGATGCCTGTCAGCAAAGGACCGATCGTTGCTTTTTACCCAGCAGAAGCTGAAGGACCCATTAAGACAGCAGAGGATACCAAACTGGAGTTGAAGAAGGCAGTCAACCCTAAGACGAGCGGACTGCAAATTGACAAATTAAGGAAAGTGGGAAATGCAGGTGTCGTGGTCCAGACCACGTCCCAGGAGGCGGCTGAGAGGCTGAAAACAGCGGCGCCTCCATTACTTAGAGTGTCAGAGCCCAGGCAGCGCCAACCCCTGGTTGCTCTTAGAGGTTTTGAAGAGGACCCAAGGAATGAGGACGTACTAAGCGGCCTCTATGAGCAGAACTTGGCTGCTAGTGGCTGGAGCGAACAAAAATTAAAAGATAGCTGCAAAATTGCATTCAAAAAATCGTGGAGAGGTAGCAGGAGGACGACAGTCATTCTACAGTGTTCGCCCGCCTTGAGGGACGTCCTGATTGGGCATAACCGATTATACATCGGCTGGGACGTGGTGGAGTCGTGCGATTATGTGGATATCACGTGCTGCCAGAAATGCCAGCAGTACGGGCATCCGGCTAAATACTGCCGTTCTAAGGAGACTGTGTGTGGGAAATGTGGGGAGACGGGACACGAGCGTGGGGCTTGTAAAGCAACAGAGGAGAAGTGTGCCACATGCAAGCGTTTTGGCCGTCCCGACTCTGGCTCGCACGTTACCATGGCAAGGAACTGTCCAGCAAGGCTGTACGCAGAGCAACGCTCCGTGGCCACCACACAATACTGTCGATAAGGGCGTCCCTTCTGTTAATATAGGACAAATAAACCTGGGTCGGGGGGAGCTCGCCACGGCTGAGTTGTCCATCCTGGCGCGTGAACTGCACCTGGACATTGTTCTTGTACAAGAACAGTACTCCCAGGCTGCGGGGATCGTCCAGGTGGGCGGTTATCCGTGTGCGGGTGTCTATCTTGCCGACCCAACACTTGGAGCAGCTGTGCTTAGTCACCTAAGTAATGAGTTTTGTGTGGTGTGTCATGTAAATCGATGGGACCTCTACGTGGTGTCAGCGTACTTCAAATTTAGCGACGCCATCGACGACACCCTGCACCACCTAGAGGTCACCCTGAGTTGCCTAAAGGGCAGAAGGGTAATCATCGGCCTCGACGCCAATGCGCACTCGCCACTCTGGCATAGCGATCGACGGCACTACGTGGGAAGAGGCCAAAACGTTTTATACCGAAGACAGATGATGGAGGACTTTATACTTTCACAGACACTCACACTCGCAAATCAGCACGACCAGCCGTACACATACTGTGGACCTGGAGGAGAGTCAAATGTGGACCTCACTCTGACAAGTGGAGATGTCCACGTCACTGAGTGGCGAGTGCACGAGAGGGTCTGCGCCAGCGACCATAACTTAATTACATACACGGCCACTACCAGCAGGCCGACCACGCGCGCAGCACCTGTTAGGGATCCTCCTCGTTTTCGTGACCGAGGGGTGGATTGGGACAGGTTCCGGGCGATTGTCAAATTGCAAATGGGATGGTTGCATGTGGAAAAACCCGCGGCTCTCCTGGCGGAGGAGTTCTCAGGGGTCATCATCCGCTCCGCGGAGGAGGGCCTAGGGGAGCGTCGCCCCAGGGGGTCGGCGGGATATGAATGGTGGACCTCTGAACTAGATAAAATTAGAAAGTTGCAGTGTAAACTCAGGCGTGTATGGCAGAGTAAAAGGCGTTTAGGAGGTGGGTCGGAGGAGATGGCCAGAATGGCTTTTCATAACGTGCGTGCGAGATACAGGAGGATGATGGTGGAGGCGCAGCAGTCACATCACGTGAAGGTTGCCAACTCTGGCAATGAGGATCCATGGGGCATGGCGTACAGGTTGGCCAGCGGGAGGGTGCGTCCCCCTGCAAACGTGGTCAATGGGATCGCCTTTGCAGGTGGGCACCCGGATAACATCGCAACAGCGATGGTTGACCTTATGTCGGCGCTCTGTCCTGATGACAGGCCTGAACGTGACATGCCTTATCACCAGCAGGTTCGCCTACTGGCGGCATTCATGCCGTCTGGTGGGGCTACGTCTCCGCTTGCGGTTGGGGACCTGGGAGGTATAGTCAAGGCTTTGCCTAACACGGCTCCGGGACTTGATGGAGTGAGTGCGCGAATTGTGAGGAATGTTTGGATGGCTGCACCGAGGGAATCCCACTTGGTGTACGCCAAGTGTGTGGTATAGGGGGTTTTCCCTTATGTATGGAAGGACGGAAGATTGATTGTCATTCCCAAGGGTAATGACAAGCCGCTCACTGACGCCAAGGCATACCGTCCGATAACGCTCCTCCCTGTCTTGGGAAAAGTACTGGAACGAGTAATGCTGAGATGTGCTCCTGCGATTAGTCGCGGGATATCTGAGCACCAGCACGGTTTCTCTCCGGGGCGATCTACAGTAACAGCGCTGCGTGTCTTGCTCAGCACAGCAAGGTATTCTCGGGCATGCTACGTACAAGCAATCTTTTTAGATATCTCCGGCGCCTTCGACAACGCCTGGTGGCCGATGATGATGGTCAAAGCAAAACGAGGTGGTTGTCCACCAAACATTTACAAAATTCTGGTGGACTACTTCACCTCCAGACGTGTGGGCCTCTACATCGGTGACCGGGTTGAGTGGAAGACGTCGACCATGGGATGTCCTCAAGGCTCTGTGCTGGGCCCAACACTGTGGAATGTATTGATGGACGATCTCCTCCGACTCCCTCTGCCTGAGGGAGTATCCATGACTGCCTACGTTGACGACGTTACAATTCTGATTGAATCTGAAACCAGAGCGGGTATCGAATCCAGGGCCAGAGTGTCCCTGGACCTTGTACGGGAGTGGGGGCTAATGAATCGACTGGAGTTTTCCTCATCAAAGTCGACCACCATGACTGTTAGAGGGAAACTTCAGCGCCCTCCTGTTATTAAACTTGGTGGAGAATCCATTAAGACTGTAACTAATGTTAAGGTACTAGGCGTGGTTTTGGACTCGGGACTGTCATTTGTGCAACATGCGTCCGATATCTCTGAAAGAGCGACCAAGGGATTTGGCAAGATGACTCGCGTATCGACATCTTCATGGGGTGTCCGATATCCGAGCCTAAAAATAATATACAGAGGAGTATTTGTATCCACGCTCACGTACGCGGCGGAATGCTGGTACGAGCGTGCGAACATGTACACAGTCCGTAGCGTGTTACTGAGATCGCAGTGATCAGCTCTCATACTGTTGACAAAAGCGTATCGATCAGCCAGCACGGCGGCCTTACCAGTGCTGGCTGGTGTTCTCCCTGCTGTCCTGGAGGTCATCCGTGCTGGTAGGATGGGTACAGCACGTTTGACCGCGCCCAAAGAGGAGTTGAGCAGACGGAAGCGCGAAATCTGGACTGAGGTGATCGGCGCCTGGCAGGAACGATGGACGAATGATACAAAAGGACGTGAGCTACATCGGTTTTTCCCGGACGTGGCGTTGAGACTCAGGTATACCTGGGTCTCACCGGACTACCAAACTTCCCAGATTCTCACCGGGCATGGATGCTTTCGAAAGAGACTGAGCGACATGAGACTGCGTGAAATTAGTATGTGTGAGTGCGGTATGACTGAGGAGGATGTTCACCATGTGTTATGGGAATGTCCTCTGTATGACGACCTAAGAGTGAAAATGATGGATGGACTAGTTCGTCCGGTTCAGGGACCGATCTACTACTCGGAACTCGTCAGCGATGTGGTTAACTACAGGCTGTTGCGCGAGTTTGCGCATAGGTGGTACGATCGCAGAAAATGGCATGACAGAGGGCTGGTAGGAAGGCCCGACGACGTAGGCATAAGTGTGTCGTCAGCCCCAGAAGGGGGAGAATGACGTTAAACTGGGACAAGGAACAGATTAAATATTTGTAGGGAGTCAAGAAAATGCGCGCGGGAAAGAGCCATGTGCAAGTACCGCGTGCATCTCCCGAGATTCGGCCCGTATGACCTGAGGGTCGGTGGGGCCATGGGAGGTGGTGGGTTGTCCCTAAACTACTTCACGTTCGGCCGCCTTAGCGTACAGACGTGCCAGTGCGATCTCCGTGTCTTTAAATTCATTAAAAGTGTCCCAAGTTAAACCTCGGCCGGAATTTCTATTTTATAGTGTTCGTGCCATATGTGGTTGTGATTTGTGATATATTTTATTGAGTTAATATTTGTTTTAGTATAATTATAAAGGATTTTACGAAATAATTGTTCAGTGCATCGTGGTATTACTTGGATTATCCCTGTACTGAGCTAAGTATTTCTTAGTTTAAGTATATCTTTTTAGTTATTTTAATTTATAAGTAATATTTCCATAGTTATATTACATCTTTAATTTAATTTAATTTCGTTTAACCTTAACATTGAGGTTAATTTGTAAGCACGTGGTGAGCACGCGGTTTACAGTTGTCAGTTTCAATTGACATTTGCTGCTGTCAGATTCAATTGACGTTTGGCGTTTGACGTCTGACGAATGACGTTTGACTCCTGACGTTTGGCAGCTGTCAGTGTCATTGTCACTGTCACTGTATTGCCAGATATAAATTATTAATTTCCCCCTTTTAATTTTTTTTTCTCTGATATTTAGTTTGTATTCATATTTTAGTACTTATATAATTTTAAATGGAAGAGGAGGATACGGGTGGTACGGAACGGCAGCTCATCGAGGATGAGCTAGCCAGGAAACAGGCTGAACTCGAAGAGTTGGAGCAGATGCGGCGAGAGGCCGGTTTTACACCACGTTCCTCGCTGCGTCGCACCCCCCCGCAAGGGTTCAGCACACCCCCGGTCCCATATAGCATCCCTGCTGCAGCATCCACCTCGATGGCCAAAAGGCCGTTAACCTTACCTGAGGACGTGCAGGAGACCGTCAGGCGCCGTGTTGCGGAGAAAAAGTCTGTTATTCCGCCTGTTAGTGGCATATTGAGCAGGCCCATCTCTGACCCGTCCTCAGGTTCTGATAATCCCACGCAGTCCACTTGTACTGACAGCTCCAGTGGCATTTCAACGCTGGACAAGGTTGCACTAATGGAGAGGGTACATGCGGCCCTAAAAGGAATCGCGACTGTCGCCAATGCGAGCAACAAGCTCAACTTGGCTGATAAAACAACTATCGGCAGCCTCAGCCAGGACATTCTAGCGTATGTGGCAACGTTAGAGATTAGGCTCGGAGAAAAGGAGCAAGAAGTAACTGCCTGCAAGCTTAAGTGTGCGCAACTGGAGCTCTCAGTAGCCCAAACCCAAACCCTTCCTGCCCCTCCTTTCCCCTATGTGGCCTCTTCCGTTCCCTCTGCTGACAGCTATGCTGCCAGGTTGAAGCTGCCTAAGGGTAAGCCGCCACTTTGTGTCCAGTCCAAGGGCCCGGCAGTCATTGTTTATCCAAACAATGATTCCATAAAGTCGTCGGACGATACAAAGACTGAGTTGCAGAAGGCAGTTCAGCCTGGCACCCAGGGAATCAAAATACACAGTGTGCGAAAAGTTGGGAACTCTGGCATTGTGGTACAGACGGCAACTATTGAGGCTGCCCAGAAATTGAAGGCAGCGGTTCCGCCTTCCTTGAAGGTCTCTGATCCCAAAAGTAGGCGGCCACTGGTGGCAGTGCGCAATTTGCGCTCGGACCCGCCAGCCACTGAATTTCTTGAGGATTTGTACAGGATCAATCTGAGCGATGATCCTGACTGGCCTAGAGATAAGTTTGGCGAATCATGCAGAGTTGCCTTCAAGAAGGGCCGGAAAGATGTACCACGCACCACAGTAGTGATGGAGTGCACATCTGCGTTGCGGGACAAATTGGTCGGCCTCGGCAGCGTCTTCATTGGTTGGGACGAAGCTGAAGTCTGCGATTATGAACGGGTGACATGCTGCACTAAATGTCAGCAGTATGGCCATCCGGAGAATCATTGCAGGGCGGTAGCGATGGTCTGCGGCAAATGTGGCGAGACCGGTCATCGTGCCGCAGAGTGCCAGTCGGCTACATAGTGCTGCGCCACATGCAAGCGCTTCAAGCGAAAAGATGCTGACCAACATGCCACTGCTGCTCTTAACTGTCCTGCACGTTTGCACGCGGAACAGCAGTCGGTCAATATGACCCAGTATGGATAGGACGACTACCTTTCGCGTAGGTCAGCTCAACTTGCAAGGCTCGAGGACGGCTACCACTGAGCTTCCTGTCATAGCCGGAGAACTGGGTTTGGATCTAGTACTAGTTCAGGAGCAACATCAGCATCCTCAAGTACTTGGGTGCGGCACCAACCCTAAGGCCGGTCTATTACCAGTAAGTTCACGATTTGTAGTCACGCTCCTACATGATTTATGCAACGAACACTGTGTTGTGGGTCATATCAGCCGCTAGAGCTTTAGCATATACGTCGTATCGTTATACTGCCAGTACAGTCATGACATCTCTTGTCACCTGCAACATCTCACCCACGTGATGGATCAGCTTTCTGGTCACCCAAACCTTATTGGTGTGGACAGTAACGCTCACTCTCCAATGTGGCACTGCGAGCGCAGGCAATATGTAGGTCGGGGCTCCGACACAGAATACCGCAAACTCCAGATGGAGGGATTTATCCTCGGACGGAATTTGCTGGTACATAATGTGGAGGGTCAACCGCCAACATTTCATAGCCCAAATGGCTCGTCCAATGTGGATATCACCATCTCCACACGTAGTGTGAGGGTTGCTGACTGGAAGGTGCATGAGGGTGTCCGTGTAAGTGACCACCAGTTGATAACGTTTGGCGTTATCCTTGGTGACTCACGGGGGTACAATGGCACAGAATTTTCAGATAACGTATGTTACTTTCGTGAACGTGGTGTGAACTGGGGAGGATTTTGTTCGACTCTCCACGCCCGCATGTCCCAGCTGAGGCTAACGCGGCCAGCTAATGATATTTGCGAGCAGTAATCTGCAATACTTCTACGTACTGCGAGAGAACGATTAGGTACACGTGCGAAAAAGGAGAAAGAAGGGTACGAGTGGTGGTCTCCGGCTCTTGACCGTATGCGTAACGAGGTCTATTATGCACGTCGTAAGTGGCAGGCCTCACGTCGCATAGGAGGCGACAGGGAGAAGGCTCTACATGATTATCTCCGACGTACAAGGATACGCTACAAGCTAGCTATGAAGGAAGCTGAACTTGCCTTCTTCCGCTCAGTCGTGGAATCAGGTAACGCCGATCCGTGGGGCCTGGCTTACCGAACAGCCAGTGGACGATTTCGTCCACCTCTCAACGTGCTAAATGGAGTGAGATTAGCTGACGGCTATACTAGGACGACCGGAGACACCATGCTTGGCCTCGTCAATGCCTTATGCCCAGACGATAATCTAGCCAGGGACACTGTATACCATCGACAAGTGCGGATCGCTGCTGCGTGTGCTCCATCTGGAACTGATGCTACTCCACCGACCAAAGAACAAGTTGGACTCGTCATTCGAGAACTGCCGAACACTCCACCCGGCATTGACGGAATCACGGCTAAGATTGTTAGACAGGCATGGCGGGTAACTGGTGACGAGATCTGGCACATGTTTAGGGCGTGCATAGTCGAGGGCGTTTTTCCGGATCTGTGGAAGATGGGCAAACTCGTTGTTCTGCCAAAGGGTGGCGACAGGCCGCTCACTGACCCTAAAGCCTACCGCCCGATATCTTTGCTGCCCATATTGGGAAAAATTCTGGAGCGTGTGATCATCTCCTGCGCTCCATGTCTCTACCGCGGAATCTCCGATGCACAACATGGCTTCACGCGTGGCCGATCCACAGTGACCGCCCTTAATACAATCAACCGAAGTACCAACGGATCAACCGAGAATTACGTGCAACTGATCCTTCTGGACATATCTGGAGCCTTTGACAATGCCTGGTGGCCAATGGTCCTACTCAAGGCAAAGCAATTTAGCCACCTAATATTTACCGTATTTTAACGAGTTACTTCATAAATCGCCGTGTAGGACTGTTTGCTGGAAACCGGGTAGTGTGGAAGGTCTCCACGATAGGCTGTCCTCAGGGATCGGTGCTGGGACCAACCCTATGGAACCTCCTACTCGATGACCTCCTGAAGCTGCCAAAACCCGAAGGAGTACACTTCGTTGCTTACGCCGACGATGTGATGATCGTGGTCGCAACATCGTCTCTTTCCGCAATAGAGCGCAAAGCGGCAGCTACGATCGCTGCCCTGTCCGAGTGGGGTATTCGTAAC